CCCCCCCCACCCCTCAGATTTTCAAATTCACATCTACTGTGGATTAGCTGCATGCAGCTTTTATAATTCCAAGTATTGAGAACCGAATTTCGAAAATGGTTATAATATTTTTTTTATGAGCAAGCGTAAAGGGTTAGGGTGGGGTTGTATTGCATGGAGCTCAGCTGTTGGGGTTTTTTTTGGTCAGAGCAAGTGACCCTTTAACCGATTACAGACCAAAAGTCTCTGTCCCTCCCTCCTCTGGTTTAGTTCCTACGAAAACACAATTACTTATTTCGAATTTAAAAAAAAATGGAAACGAAACGTTTTCTTGAGTTAGTAGATACCGTTTGATTACGACAATCCATCTGTACTATATATTATTCCAATCTATACATACACATGTATATATGTATGTATATGAATGGATTTTAATTTTACACACACTTTGAATATTATGACGGTCCAACATATTTATTTGGGTTCGGAGATGGGCTTCGCATGTGAATGTATATGAGAGAGCTCAGCTATGTCCATAAGACATGGGCCATAACGTTTCGGCAACTTAAAAGGCCTCTGGATTTATGACCCGTGAAGAGATCCAATTATTTATTTATTTATTATTTGTCATTGTTTAATGCTCTTGGTTGGTGCTCTCGATTATTAATTTTACATTCTCCAATTATAAATGTATTTTTTTTTGTAGATCCGAATACTTGAAATTTAAGCTAGGTAACCAATAATGGGTTTTAACTAATATTCCGAAAAACTACCTCAATATTCATTAATCTCTGCAAAATCTTCAAAGATATTCATAAACACGCATATAATCATCTGAATTTACAGAACTTTCATTTAGGGGAAAGGAAATACAAATCTTAAAAATCTTTCCAGATAGTATGTTAACTTAAAAGGAAAATAGTATACACACTTTAAATATAACTTAAAAGGAAATACACTGAAGTTTGAAAACTATCTAAAACGTGTACATTTTTAAAAAAAATTTATGAATAGTACAAATTTATAAGATAGTGATTTATGTATTTGTTATATGATTCTGAACAGATGTAATGGTGCTTATTCCAATGCAATATATATATATATATATATATAATGTTAGAATGTAAAGGCATTTGAACTAATAATGGGCGCTTCTTTTAAATATGGGTAACAAAGAAGTCAAAAATCACTTCGGCTTATCCACCATTTTTCTTCACCGTTCATTTTTTCTACCCAAAAAAAAAAAGAAAAGAAAAAGAAAAGTGTGGAAATTTCACTTTGTCAACTCTATAGAGTAGCAGAGGCGACGTTTTTTGGAGTGGAGATGCCGTTTTCATGTCACAAAAGCGGCACGCTTTCCTCACCTTCTTCTAGTGCTCGCCCTGCCTTTTGTTAAAGAGAATGCACCAACGAGTGCCACAGATTGATAAAAGAGGGAAAAAATAGTGGAAGCCTTTAGTTATATTTTATTCTGCTAAATCATTCGATGGGGTAAGTTTCGCTAACGAATACAAAATAATGCTGTCACGTTTTTTTTTTTTCAAAATATTGAATAATTAATTAGTTTGTAATAATCATAAACCATATAATGTATTTCAATTTCAATGTTGGTCCTCGGCTACAAACATATGACTTTCCGAGTCTTAAGCCGTGATGTACGGACCAACGAGAAACGGTAATTTGCCAAGCCACTCGCGGGAGAAAATATTTACACATTAAATAAATTCAGGAGCTCGAACTTATATTATACACTACAAAATGCAAAGGAATGAAAATATTATTTGTTGTTAGACATACATATATATATATATATATTAATCAGAATTGATTGAATATTTAATAAAAAACGGGGGTTATGAATGAGTTGGATGCTGCCTATTTTATTTAATGCATTTGTTTTTTAAGGTTAGTATTGAATAAGAAGGGAATATAACGTGCAACGTCCTTTTCTCGTACCTGTAGTTTATTATCATTATTATCAATTATTATTATGGATAAAATCCAACGTCTGGTGTGGTTTGCAGCATAAGCTATGATCTCTTTTTTTTTTTTTATTGAAGTTGTCATTAATTCAATTCAGCTTTATCTATGCGTACCATATCGGTATAATGAATAAACGATGCAGATTTGGAATGCGTGGATATATATAGTCACACACTGACCAAGCAATCTCAACCATAGTCTCGTCGTTTCATACACCTATATCATAATAACATTAATAATTGATATAAATAATAATAATAATAATAATAAATGGTCCATATACACATCTCGATATAAACGGTGTACGTGTGTGTATATATGTGTGGAGACATGAATAAGCAAAAGGATAGCACGTGATCTTCGCACAGTCTCTCCCTTTCTCGCCGGGTTTCCAGCTGCTCCCCACAAATCTCTCTCTCTCTCTCTCTCTCTCTCTCTCTCTCTCTCTCTCGTTTTAAATTCTTTTTCTCAGCTCTGAGTCGGAATTCATACATACATACATACACGTTTTGAATTTTTACGTGACCCACAAAAAAAAAAAAAGAGAAGGGGGAAAAATGAGAGTGAACTCTCTTCTATATCTCTTCCTTCTCCTCCGTATCACCGCCGGCGAATTCCCGGCGCCGGTGATGAACTACTTCAACTACTTGTTACCCTCCGATGCTGTCGCTCTCCTCTCCTTCAAGTCCGCCGCCGATCTAGACAACAAGCTCTTCTACTCCCTCACCGAGCGCTACGACTACTGTCAGTGGCGCGGCGTCAAGTGCGCCCAGGGCCGTGTCGTCCGCCTCGTCCTCGCCGGCGTCGGTCTCCGTGGCTCCTTCTCTCCGGCCACTCTCAGTCGCCTTGACCAGCTCCGAGTTCTCAGCCTCGAGAACAACTCCCTTTTCGGTCCGGTTCCCGATCTATCCTCTCTCGTCAACCTCAAGTCTCTGTTCCTCAGCCGGAATGGATTTTCTGGAATTTTCCCTCGTTCGCTTCTCTTGCTCCATCGATTGGTGGTGCTCGACCTCTCCTATAACAACTTCACTGGTCCGATTCCTTCTGAGATCAATGCTCTGGACCGGCTCACTTCCTTGAATCTCGAATTCAACCAGTTCAATGGAACTCTGCCGTCGCTGAATCAGTCGTTTCTGATGGCCTTCAACGTTTCCGGTAACAATCTCACTGGAACTGTGCCGGTGACGCAGACTCTGTCGAGATTCGATGCGTCGGCATTTTCGCTCAATCCAGGGCTCTGTGGCGAGATCATCAACCGAGCTTGTGCTGCGCGTTCCCCGTTCTTCGGTTCGGCCAACTCCACGTCACCATCGTCACAAGCGCCACTCGGGCAAAGCGCGCAATCGCAGAATGGTGGAGCGGTGGTTCTCCCGCCGGCCGCTTCGGCTAAGAAGAAGAACAGAAGCGGTTTAGTGCTCGGTTTTACCATCGTCGTGGCGGCGCTGATAGTTCTCGGTCTCGGCCTCGTCGTGTTCTCACTGGTGATGAAGAAACGGAGAGACGAGGACGACGGAATTTACGAACCGAATCCGAAAGGAGAAGCGTCTGCGCAGGCCCATATCCATTCTCCCAACACACGAGGTGTTCCGATGTCGATTTCAAATTTTGAAACGCAGAAAAGCGGAGAGAAATCAGAGGAGAAACTTCAAGCCATAGAGAGGCAAACCCGGATCCCAAGGAGCGGGAATCTGGTGTTTTGCGGCGGCGGAGACGGAGAGTCGGGGCAGGGCATGTACACGCTCGAGCAGCTAATGCGAGCGTCGGCGGAGCTGCTAGGAAGAGGATCGGTGGGGACGACGTACAAAGCCGTGCTCGACAGCCAGCTGATCGTGACGGTGAAGAGGCTCGACGCCGCAAAGACGGCGGTGACTAGCGACGAAGCGTTCGACAACCACATGGACATTGTCGGAGGACTCAGGCACCCGAATCTCGTTCCAATCATGGCTTATTTCCAATCCAATGGAGAGAGACTCGTCATCTACGATTATCAACCCAATGGCAGTCTCTTCAATCTTATTCACGGTACGCCTTTTCTCTTCCCTTCCTTCGTCGGTTCGTCCTCTCTGAGGGTGTGTCAAATTAGGGTTTCAGTTTCCAACTCACTGAGTCGCCACCGAGTTCGTGCTCTTAATAGTATCGCTCCCACGTGGCAACCCGTTATTGGCTGACAGAGTCTGTGGTTCACTTGAATTTTTGTTTGACCCATATGGTCTTGTGTGTACGTCTCGTTGGTGTGTTTATGCAGCTTTATCAACTTGAAAACTGGGTGGAGAGACTGATCACATAGCGACAATCGCGGGATTATTAATCATTTTCAGTGTTTTTTTTTTCTCTCCTTCACCGTTTGATGGGTTGAATTACTGGAGAAAGAAGACAAGAAAATTGGAAATCTGCGCTGTTTTCACGTGAAATTCTCGTCTTTTTGCGTCTCGGTCTACGCAACAAAAAAACGAGTCTTTAGCAGATAACATTTCCAAAGTGGGAGCCAGATGAGGAAATATTAGAATTGGACTACGAATGGGAGTTTAGAATGCTCTTGAATCTTTTCTGGTAGCACATATAGTTGTATCAGGAATTTGTCCATACACGTTTGAAGGGTAGTGGACACCTTGCACAAGTCGATTTTGAGTCAGAAATAGGAAACAGAAATCCACCCTTTTAGCGGTGTGGACGCCTTTGCAGTTCTATCTTAGTTTGGTAACTGTGGTTTTTGGTTTTTGGTTAGCTTTACGTATAAAGCAGGCACCTTTTTATGTGGTGGTGGTGGTGTTACTAGACAAAATGTGTCTTCCCATCCTTAAAATTATTCTCCTTGTTCGAGTAACGAATCTAACGACGTTTTCTCTGATGACCCATCTCATGATTCGCTGGAAAATTTTCAGGGTCAAGATCGTCAAGGGCAAAGCCACTACATTGGACTTCATGCTTGAAGATAGCAGAGGATGCAGCTCAAGGACTGTATTACATCCACCAATCCTCAGATTTGGTCCATGGCAACCTTAAATCCACAAACATCCTTCTCGGACAAGACTTTGAGGCATGTTTAACTGATTACTGCCTCAGTGTCTTATCAGACCCTTCAATTGCTCCGGAGGATCCCGACTCCTCATGCTACAAAGCTCCTGAAATCAGAAAATCAGCTCGTAGACCCACTTCTAAATGCGACGTTTATTCATTCGGCGTCTTCCTCCTCGAGCTTTTGACTGGCAAAAACCCATCTAAGCACCCTTTCATGGCGCCTCGTGATATGCTGGATTGGGTTAGAGCTATGAGGGAAGAAGACGAGGTTTCAGAGGACAACAGGCTGGGGATGTTGACGGAAATGGCCTGCGTTTGCCGTGTGACTTCTCCCGAACAAAGGCCGACCATGAGGCAAGTCATTAAGATGATCCAGGAGATTAAGGACAGTGTAATGGCTGATGAGACCGATCCTTGCGGGTACTCGTAGATTTCTCCGGTCAGTTCTTTTTTGTTAAGGGATCGGATCAAGTTCGGAGATTCTGGCAGAGTTATGGCCGTGGAGAATAGAGACCCCCAAAAAAAGTTATATTTTTTAAACACAATCGGAATGAGAAGAGGCAAACAAAAGTTCATTTGGTGCAGAGTGAAAGCGTTGTGTGTTGAACGTTTCAAAGGTTTGTGCATATGTTATCAGGTCAGGTGTATGGATGTATTTTTCCTGAAAGTTTAATTTTTAGAAATTCTATTTATTATAATAATAATAATGTTAAGTTTGTTTGATACAATGATGATGATGATGATCTGGTTCGCATCATAGAAATATGGGGTGAAAATGTGGTGGGGCTAAGAACAATGTGATGTAAATAAAATGTATCCATGTAATGTATGGATAAAAAAAATGAGGGGAACTTTGTAAGGATCCAAAATGTATGTATTATGTAAATAAATGGTTTATGCTAATAATTAGTATGAAAATTAAGAAATCAAATGGATTAAGAATTCAATGAGGAAGAAAGGGTTTTTTTGGGGGGGGGGGGAAA